TGCAAGACGGGCTTGCTGGTCATAAAAGCGACCGTGAAAAGCTTTGAGAAGCCAGGGAAGATATTGATCGATTCCGGATCGTCGGGGAATTATGCTTGACGCTCCACGATGCAAGGTAGTCAGCCGTGTGCTGAGTGCTGGTTGCGCGGTTGAGTGACACCGTCACTGTTCGCTTTGGGACAGGGACTGGTTTCACTGTGCCGAGGGTCCTTGTGGTCCATGGTGTCAAATTCCTTGACTTTGATAGAGTGGGATGCTGCTTAGTCTTAGACTTAGATGCAAGGTATGACCTTATCCTTGGTATGCATGCTTGGAACACCAGATCCATGGATAAATTGGAGATCAAAGATTTTGGGCGCTACGCCCATTTCTTCTGGTGGAGCTTTGATGAGTCATGAACCCACCTCTGCTAGGAAGCAGAAGCGCTATTGGCGCGGGCGCCGGACCGATACGGTCAATGTGCTAAATATTGGAGTATCCGAGTTTCAAATTCGAAGGTGTTTTGAACAGGAGTCCCGAGCGTGGCTCGCACGCTGTAGAGTGGCATGTAACCCACCGAGCGCTGCTCGAGTATCTAAGCAGTCGCTGCATGCCAAGAGTGGCATAGTCGGCAAAGAGCTGAGGCATCGAGGGCGAGGCCCTAGTGATGTATGTGGAGTGGCACGTAACCCACTAAGCGCTGCTTAAGTATTTAAGCAGTTGCTGCATACCAAGAGTAGCATGATCGGATGAGTTCCGAGACATCTTGGGCAATGCTCTTTTGATGCGCGTGGAGTGGCACGTTATCAACTAAGACGAAGAGTACGGAAATAGCAACTTTTCGTCAGAAGTCGTTAATAACATCAAGGCTCCGATAGAGCAGGTGGTGGGGACACTGGACGACGCTGAGTGCGTGTTCCCACAGATCTCGAAACACGTAAAATTTATATAGAGGGAAGACGGCGAAGCCGTATATTATTTGCAAGGCGTAGGGCGTCGAACCTGATCTAGACTGTGTCTACCGTAGACGATAGTGCACAGCTGTATACCCTTTTCAACGGTTTGACGGAAGAGGAAGGCGGCGACGTCACCCTTAAGGATATTTCCCCGGTGGATGCTCTTCTTGAGCTGGAGAAGATACCCCTTGAAATTTTTGACGGCCTTGACGGCGGGCAATTTAGCCGAGGTGGTCATTTAAAGGCTAAACGTAACTTGTCGTTGCTTCTGGATGAAGCTGTCTTGGAGGACACTAAGAGGGTGCTGAACGCACGAAATGGATCGTCGATCCTAAAGGATCCCTCGAATCCGTACTATCCTTGGTAAAGAAATTTCAAGACGCCGTTTACAAAGACCCGCGGACGGGCATACCTCGTGACTGATTTGTTTGTCATGAGATCAACCTGGTCCCGGGAACCAAATACTGCGTGACACGCCAATGGCCCCTGCCCTAGGAGTAGTGTGACGTCTTTTTCCGTGCAAAGCACGACGCAAGAATGGTACGTCAGAGTAATTCAACACCCACGTTTTGTGTCCGGAAGCCGAACAGCAATTGGCATATCGTCCATGCTTACAATGAGCTAAACACTGCCATAATTCCGGCACAGACGCTGATTCCCAGGATGTTCTTCAGAACAATATGATTGGTTGTACAAAGTGCAGTGCACTCGACTTGGTCGATGGGTATTACCGATTGCTCATATGAGCGACTGATATTCCGCTGACATCGATGAGTACTCCGAGCAACATGCTCTGGGTGTGGCTAGCGATGCCTCAAGGGCTGTCAAATGCACCAGCAACATTTAATCGTCTTTTGACGCAATTATTCAGGCCCCATCGGGCGTATGCACAAATTCACTTTGACGAGATCTTCGTCTGCAGTCGTGCAGGGCACAGAAGTACCAATGAGGATAACCACATCGTTCATTTGAGAGCAGTGTTCGAGTGCATGCGCAGAAACAAGCTGTATTCTAATCCAGCCAACTGCATCTTCGGCGCGAAAGAAATTCCCTTTAAAGTGCTTCATTGGGAAGAGTGACCTTCGAGCGGATCCCGCTCAATCCAAGGCCATTGTGGACTGGCCAATTTCAATGAACCAGAAAAGACTTGCGCAAGTGGCTTGGCCTCGCCAACTACTTGCACAAGTATAGCAAAATTAATGCAGAAATAGTACGGTCATTGTCGAATCTCCTTAAGAACCAAACAGAATGGTGTTGGGACACCGAGCATCGGGAGGCTTTTGACAGGGCCAAAGAAAGCCTCCTTCATGCACCAATTCACTAGGTCTGGTTTCATGAAAAAAAGGCTTGGTGGTCAGTTTATGAGCGTACATTTATTCGTGTGGGACTGGCGTTAGCAGACCCCGATCAATTTTTCAGCGTCGTCTGTGACGCTTCGGACTTTGCCATCGGCTGTGCACTGCTGTAAGCAGACGCCGAGTGACGAAATCGGGTGATCGCGCTCGAACCTCGTCAGCTTAGACTGCTGAGAAGATCTACCCAGTTTACGACAAGGAATTACTTCCGATGAAGTATGCACTTGCCAAGTTCAGAGTGCGCCTGCTTGGCTCAAAGCTGTTTGTGAACTACACAAATCACGCCTCATGACGCACTGCGACCCAGTCGTCTCACTTTTCGCAGAGAATGGTCAGGTGGCTCTCATTCTTTGCAGAATATAACTTGGAGGAGAAACTTAAGCCAGAAGGCAGAATGCTTTGGCTGATGCGCTGTCACGCAGATCGGATTATGGGCTTGCTCATATCATGGCTGTGTCGTCGTCAGTGTCGGACTTGATACTCGCCGCGTACGCGAATGATAGTATGTGTGTAGCGCTGCTACAGGCTCTCGGGAGCAAAGAGTTTGGAAACTCGGACAACAAATTGTTGGCGTGTTTGCGCGCACGGTTACACCGATATTTGTTGAATAACGGGTTGCTAAATTATAGCACCAATTCAACGGATACGCCACGAATTGTGGATCCCCACGATGAGAGTTTGAAGTACCGTATCCTCTATGAGGCCCACGAGACCCCACTCAGTGGTCATCTCGGTCATGAGAAGACGTACAGCTCGGTGAGTTGCCACTTTTGGTGACCCAAGCTGTACAAATGAACGAGCGCATATGTGCGCACGTGTGAGGCGTGTCATGGGGTAAAACCCTCTCCGACTGCGGCAGCGCCGCTGGCCAATTTAGCGGTACCCTCCGGGTGTTGGCAGTCCATTAGTGTGGACTTTTTGTTTGGCCTGCCGAAGACATCGGCGGGCAACGCGGGTGTGGTGGTCTTTGTCGACCGTTTTAACAAGATGACTCATCTTGCGGCAGTGCCGAACACCATCGACGGTGTGGGTACAGCGACGCTGTTTGTCG